ATATATATATATATATATATATATATATATATATATACACATATATACATTGCAATAGCTCGATTTGATTAGTTTTGCATGTAAGTTTCCATCAACTCTGCAAATAGGCGTCTACGATAGATCCGTAAGTAGGACATGTAAATGCATCGATTAGTTGATTATCAGTGGCGGGATAATGTAATTGATAAGACGTAAACGAAATTTCAACGCGTTTCATATTCATTCGATTATATATTATACCTCGTTAAATGCAAAAGCAAACAATGTGTCGTTGCATAAGAACAAATACGTTCGTTAATTGAACCGATATGTTTTTAAGCGTCAATAATCAACCATAATTCATACTTTTCATCATTTTCATTTGCGAGTTCGCGGGTTTAACGCGATGCGACCCCACCACCAGACACCGCGACATCTCATTTTTCACGAATGTGCATTTTCTACGAACAGCATTTCTCGACGCGTTGAAAATCGTTTAAAATTAATTCATATTTGCCATTAAGCGAAACACATAAAACGTATTATAAATTTTTATTTCGTATTATAAATTAATAAAAAAAATATATATATATATTTTAAAAATATACGCGAAATCGATTACATAGTCGTTTATCGCATCGAGTAAATCGATTTTCAGTTATCGATTTATATTGATTTTCGCGTGCCTCATTGTAACTCGAATGCCAGTCGATGCAATTGATCTAATCTAAACGATTAAAAACGAGATTGCAATTGCGTTACACTGTGTATAATGGTTTGAATAGCGCATTATACGATGATAAAACATCTTAAGTAATTAATTAATAAATTTACATCTTAATTAAGTTTTGAAAAAAATACGAAATTAAATATACCATATTGCACGATATTGAATGACAAATAATCTTTATAATTTTTGTAAAGCTGTTTTCAAATCGTAATCGTAACGTTATTTTCTTTTCTTCGAGAAAATCGAGACGCAAAATTTATTACAATGATTGTCTTTTGTAGCTAATATTCATTGTAAAGCATTGCATATATAATGATTAATATAAAATCTACATAAACTTGTTGACATACACACAGGCACATACACGCTATATTAATCATCCGACACATGAGACAAAAAAAATGCAAATTTATCGGTGATACATTGCCATATAATAATAATACCAACAGCAAGATAACATATAGATAATAAATATATGTATATATATATATATATATATAATTTAAATATATATGTATACAATTCATTACAAATATACGCGTATAAGCGTACGCGAAACCTTGTTATATCACTAAGCACATCTGCACACCGTCTACATAACCACAAAATATGTATCGGTCGTAATACGAGTATTTGTCATATCCGTGTTTCGTTCTTACATGCGCGCGCAAGCGTGTATACGTGTCATACGTAATAGAAGGTTAAGCTAGGTTGACCGACCATGATGCAGAGTGCATGCGTAACGAATAGTTCACGCCGATCGTACGAGAGAACACATACACGCGACGAAGAGAACAAAAACACGATATCGTGCGTGTGTTTTAGTGCATGCATAGATGATAAGAGGCGACACGGCGTTATATCATCGTCTACGAGGCACATGGCGAGTATTGCGACACGATTGTCGCAGTTCTTTCACCCATTCGATTTGACCGTGATGTACAATGCGTTAATATGCATCTAACTGAAATCGGCTCGGTTGGTAATCCTTCGAGACGCGAATCGATAATCGATTCTCTGATCTGCACCAGTGGCGCTGGCGATGAACCGGTCATCGTGAGTCAATGGGTGGACGAACTTGAGATGAATTGAATGTTGATTAGTCTTAAATTAAAGTTTTAATAATGGTATATGCATCAATTGTTACGGTCTGCGAGGTTGATGTAATGATATACGGATAATATTAACCGTGTACTAATATAGCAATGTCGTCACTTGATTCAGATATGCTTTTTATTGGTTATGAATTAATTT